CCCGGGCTCAAGCAATTCTCCTGCCTCAGCCTATCAAAGGGGTAGGGTTATAGGTGTGAGTCACCATGTCCAGCCACTTCTTGTAAATTTGGATTAAAAGTTCCCTCACAAAATTCAGTACTATACACTAGTAATGGAACGTGTGTATGTAAAAGTTTCTGAAATGGTTTGGAAGAATATACCCCAGACACTTGCTAGTGGTCACCTGTGAAGAGTGAAGAAGGGAAGAGAGTGGAACGTCAGCTTTGTATGTAAACACCTTCTCTTAAAAAAGACTGCAAGAAAATATATGAAGATACTGATTAATTCTGGATTGTGATATATGGATCTCTAATTCTTATTTTTTATACTTTTCTGTATTTTTAGAATTTCTCAGAATTAGTAAGAATGAGGGTGAGGATGGGAACACTGTACCTGTGGAAATCATGCTGTAATATTTGTTCCTGGCTGGGTGCAGTGGCTCACACCTGTAATCCCAGCACTTTGGGAGGCCAAGGTGAGTGAATTGCCTGAGCTCAGGAGTTTGAGACCAGCTTGGGCAACATGGTGAAACCCCGTCTCTACTAAAAATACAACAAAATGAGCTGGGCGTGGTGGCATACGCCTGTAATCCCAGCTACTCAGAAGGCTGAGGCAGGAGAATAGTTTGAGCCTGGGAAGCAGAGGTTGCAGTGAGCCAAGATCGAGCCATTGCACTCCAGCCTGGGCGACAGACCGAGACTCTGCCTCCAAAAAAATCATTCCCAATGAAAAACTACATTTATATGGAAAATATTTCTAAAATTTTACCAACAATGAGTGGATGGACTTGCTCTGTATATAACATGAAATTATCCATTTTTTTACATTCAAAATGAAGGCTGGGCATGGTAGCTCATGGCTATAGTCTTTCCTCTTTAGAAGGCTGAGGTGGGAGGACAATTTGAGTCCAGGAGTTTGAGACCAGCCTGGGTAACACGATGAGACTCCGTCTCTACAAATAATTTAAAAATTAGCCACAGTGCCAGGCGCGCTGATTCACGCCTGTAATCCCAGCACTTTGGGAGGCCAAGGTGACAGGCGAATCACTTAAGGTCAGGAGCTCAAGACCAGCCTGACCAACATGATGAAACCCCATCTTTACTAAAAATACAAAATTAGGTGTGGTAGCACATGCCTGTAATCCCAGCTACTCAGGAGGCTGAGGCACAAGAATCGCTTGAACCTGGGAGGTAGAGGTTGCAGTGAGCCAAGATCACACCATTGGACTCCAGCCTGGGCAACAAGAGCAAAACTCCATCTCAAAAAAAAAGCCACTGTGAGACGTAATTACACCACTGCACTCTAGCTTGGGCAACAGAGTAAGACCCTGTCTCAAAAATAAATAGATGGCAAGATTAAATTAAAAAATAAGTAAGAAAAAAAAAATAAGTAGGTAAAAACCACAGCCAAAAAGAAAAAGAGAGAGAAAAAAAAAAAAAGAAAAAAAGAGAAAGAGAGAGAGAGAAAGAAAAGAAGAAAAAAGTACCGCGATCATTTCTAGGGTATTCTGATGGAATTATCAAGACAAAATAAATAAGTAATAAGTAAAACCACAGGGAAAAAAATATATATGCCTTGATCATTTCCAGGATAAACTGATGGAATTATCAGGATTTCACAGTAGAATTAATTTGATTAAATGTACAGCTGCCGAAGAGGTGGAGTCTGCATAAGCTGATTGAATCTGAGGCCTCTAGTGTGTTTAAGGACTCAGATCATAAGAGCAAAACCGCTTGAGTTCAAATCTAGTCTCTGTATTTGATTCTGTGACCTCCTGCAAATATTTAATATCTCTGAGTCTCAGTTTTCGCTTTACATGGTAACAATGATAAAATCCACTTCCTAATACTGATGAGGGTAAAATTCGCTAATTAATGTCCATTGCTTCCCTGCACAGTGAGAACAGGGGAAGTGATTGCATTAATGTCCGGAGGCCCTTAGTAGGTCACTCAATCACTCAGTCTATACAGGCGGTAGGTCGCCGGTGCCCTGGACTCCGCCCCGAAGGGGTGTGGCTGACCAGGGACGCATATATAAAAGCCCAGGCCCCAGAAGGCGCCCAGCAGCTTCAGACTGGGCTCCTCTCCGTCTGCTAGTAGAGAAATGCCCGGTCTGCAATACGGATCAGTTTCTGGTGAGTCTGTGCCTCCAAATGCAAGGGCAAGGGTCAGTCTCATGGGATGGTGGGTCTGAAACTCAAAGATTTAGGAGTCCAGAATGCTAGCACGGGAGCCCACTAATAGGGGAGGACAGACCGGCATCTAAAACGGTTCATTTATTGAGGACCATTTTTACCTCCACGAGCCTGCCCTGCGCAGGGCTTGCCTTTCACCAGACAGACGAGGGGTCTGCAGAGGAGGCTGTGGCTGTGATTCCTAGGAGGTCTCTCAAGGGCACCTGAAGGTCTTTCTGTCACATTGGCAGGAGCCCAGGACGAGATCGTGGTCTGGTCAAAGTCTCATGGAAGTATACAAAGCTATGCCCATAAGTCATCCGGGACTGAGTTGGTTGAGTTGAATTATTAGAGGTCAAGAGAAGGAGGCATAGTCCGTGGGCAGGACTATCAGGGTTTTTTTGGTTTTCTTGTTGTTGTTTTGTTTTTTGAGTCAGAGTCTTGCTCTGTTTCCCAGGTTGGAGTGCAGTGGCATGATCTTGGCGCACTGCAACCTCCACCTCCCAGATTCAAGCAATTCTCGTGCCTCAGCCTCCCCAGTAGCTTAGACTACAGACGTGCACCACCACGCCAACTAGTTTTGTTGTTGTTTTTATTTTTAGTAGAGACAGGGTTTCACCATTTTGGCTAGACTGGTCTCAAACTCCTAATCTCAAGTGATCTGCCTGCCTCGGCCTCCAAAAGTGCTGACATTACAGGCCTGAGCCACCATGCCCAGGCGAGGGGACTATCGTTTTCATAATTCCTTAAACTGGGGGTGAAATCTGTCTGTTTTTCCGAAGGCCGGAAGCTTTAGGGACCAGAAGCAGACCTAGAGCAGATGGAGTGGGACTCAGTCCTTTACTGGGTTCCTGTTTTCCGAGGTTCCCAGTGGGATCCATCAGGCCTTGCTCAGGATGAAATACAGTTCTGCTCAGAGGAGTTTGTAGTCCAGTGCTGGAGAGAAGGGGTTCAGAGGAGTTAAGCCGTTACAAGGGCTGGAATGGTGGGAAAGAAAGTGTAAGAGTAAGATGCTATTAGAGGCTGATTTTTAAAGAAAAAGTTTTTGTTTTTGTTTTTTAGAGAGGAGGGGGTCTTGCTATATTGCCTAGCTTCCACTGTGGTTTTAATCATCTCCCTTCTTCTAAGGGTGCCTCCTTCTAGTTCTTGGGAAATTCCACTTATTTCCAGTCATAAATAAATATATATAATATATATATAACATATATATAAATATATATATTTATGACTAGAAATATATATTCTATATGTTATATTTATATTAATATTATATCATATATATGATATCATATATATATAATTTTGGGTTTTTAAAATTGTTCTCTTTATGTATACATATATATTTAAAGCCATCTATCATTTCTATGATTTGACATAGAAGGGAAGGACTTCAAGGTCTCCTCAATCCACCACATTCAATGGCAGTCCAGTCACACATTTTGAATATGTGTAAATTGCGGTATCGCTCTATTCTGAGAGTCAGGACAAGGCAGGAGGGACCAGGCTTTGATCGCAGAGATAGGAAAGGAGAACATATTAGATAAGATACCTTGGCTGGGCAGGGCAGACTGAGCAATGGATTGGATAGGGACATGGCAAAACTGAGTGGACTGATCTGGCTAGAGCAGGACAAAAGCAGGGAAGAGGCACCTGGGATGAAAAAGAGGTGAGGCTACCCAGATGGTGGCTTTGGGGAGCTCGTTATAAACTTGACGCTTTTCCTGTAGATCATATGGGGCAGAGAAAATAATAAATAAACAAACAAACTTGTTATCAGAGACATAGGAAGCCTAGAAGTATGGATGGCCACTTTGAACAGAAATATAAACCTTGTCCATATGCACGGTTAGGCCTCTGTCTCCAAGAAACTGCTTCTTGGAATGTGACTTAATCTGTTCTGTCCAGGCCTAGTAGATTCACGGTCTGGTAAGGGCATGCTTTCTGGTTCATAGCTGGCACCTTTTAGCTGTGTCCTCACCTGGTAGAAGTAAAGAACTCTGCCCCTCAGCCCCTTAGAACACTCATCTCATTCTCGAAGGCTCTGTCTCCACGACCTAATCATCTTCCAAAGGTCCCACCTTCTAATCCAATCACACTGGAAATTCGGTTTTAACATATGAAATTTGGAGAGACACATTCAGTCCACAGCAGAATGGTTCCTGGAAGCTGGTGGTTTCCAGGATGGTTCTCAGGAGGCCAGAATCACTGGGTGCCCCCAGGTAGATCTCTGCAAGAAATGTCCCCATTTATCCAGGGGACTGTGAGGACCCAGAGCCAGATAGGTCCGGTACAAGTTAAGAGTCTTCTGCCTAGACCAAGTCAGTTCACCTCCCTGGACTTCTATTTTCTTTAAAATGGGATTAACCATTACTCTTATTTTCTAGGGTCACGGTGGAAATGAAATGAGAGCATTTATTTGAAAATTTAATCAGTTAGCTGAATCTCCAATAAGATGTCTGGAGAGAAGACTTTGGAATTCTCTGGGGTAAGATCTCTTCAGAGGATGATGGGACATTCACGACGTTCATCTAAACTCTCACCTCCATTGATAGATAGGAGTAGCTTAGTATAAGTTTACACCTGAGAAATATGTTTGCGCTTTTAAAATGTTACTGTGTGTGGAGGGTACACTGGATGAAGCTAACTCTAGAGTCAGTTGAGAGGCAATTACAGGCTTCTGGGCAACAGATGATGGTGGGCTGGATTAGGATAGGGTCAACAGGGATGGAGAAGGAGGGTATGTGAGGATTGGAATTTGAGCTGGGATGAACCCCTGACCTATTAACTTTTTTGCAGGACCCCATAACTAAAGATATAGTTCAGTCATCAGCCAACAGCAAAGAGATGGATTCCAGTCTCCTCCAGGCAATTGAGGAAATTAAGAATTTTTTCCAGCATCTCTCTGAGCAACATACAAAACAGGCAGAAACCCCAGATGCACCAGAACCACAGTGCTGTATGCCTCTGCCCGCCCATGCTGAGGAGAGCCGACACGAGTCAACTCAGAGCAAGACCATGCCTCCCTTGGAGCTCACAAAGATGACTTCTGCATGCACTAACATCCCTGGGACAGTTCCCACCCAGGACTTAACAGTGCACTTTCTTAAAGCCCTTGATACGGCCCTTGAAGGCCTAAGTGAGACTTCTTCCATGGGCCAGAAAGTGACCTCCTTTGATCAGATAAAACACACAGCCGGTTCCCAGATGACAGATGTTACTGACACCCCAAAGACATCACTCACTGATTGCCAGAAGACAACCGTCACTGCAAGCAACATGGCAATCTCCAGTGAAGGTAGCCAGCTGAAGATCCTAAGCAGTGACCAGACCCTCAGTGAGAGTCAGACACAGGCCCTGCGTGGAGATCAAATGAAGACCCTCAGTGATAACCAGACTCTCTATAGGGACCAGATGACCTTCAGTAGTGACCAGACCCTCACTGATGGTCATACAGTGACTTCTAGCGGTGACAGGGCCCTCTCTGAGGGCCAGATGATAACCAGCCTAGACCTGTATGGAGGGCAAATGATGACTTCCATTGATAACCAGACCCTCTGTGGGGAGCAAACAACAACCTCCACTCCTAGACAGGCCCTCTACCAGGGGCAGGTGACGACCTCCACTGGTAACCAGGCCCTCTGTGGGGAGCAGACAATGACCTCTACTGATAACCAGGCCCTCTTTGGGGAGCCGACAACGACTTCCACTGATAACCAGACCCTCTGTGGGGAGCAGACCATGACCTCTACTGATAACCAGATCCTCTATGGGGGGCAGATGACCACCTGCACTGGTAACCAGGCCCTCTTCGGGGAACAGATGACAACGTCCACTGGTAATCAGGCCCTCTACGGGGGGCAGATGACGACCTCCACTGGTAACCAGGCCCTCTACGGGGAACAGATGACGACGCCCACTGGTAACCAGGCCCTCTACGGGGAACAGATGACGACGTCCACTGGTAACCAGGCCCTCTGCGGGGGGCAGATGACGACCTCCACTGGTAACCAGGCCCTCTGCGGGGGACAGATGACGACCTCCACTGGTAACCAGGCCCTCTACGGGGGACAGATGACCTCCACTGGCAACCAGGCCCTCTACGGGGGGCAGATGACGACCTCCACTGGCAACCAGGCCCTCTACGGAGGGCAGATGACGACCTCCACTGGCAACCAGGCCCTCTACGGGGGACAGATGACCTCCACTGGCAACCAGGCCCTCTACGGGGGGCAGATGACGACCTCCACTGGCAACCAGGCCCTCTACGGGGGGCAGATGACGACCTCCACTGGCAACCAGGCCCTCTACGGGGGGCAGATGACGACCTCCACTGGCAACCAGGCCCTCTACGGGGGGCAGATGACGACCTCCACTGGCAACCAGGCCCTCTACGGGGGGCAGATGACGACCTCCACTGGCAACCAGGCCCTCTACGGGGGGCAGATGACGACCTCCACTGGCAACCAGGCCCTCTACGGGGGGCAGATGACGACCTCCACTGGCAACCAGGCCCTCTACGGGGGGCAGATGACGACCTCCACTGGCAACCAGGCCCTCTACGGGGGGCAGATGACGACCTCCACTGGCAACCAGGCCCTCTACGGGGGGCAGATGACGACCTCCACTGGCAACCAGGCCCTCTACGGGGGGCAGATGACGACCTCCACTGGCAACCAGGCCCTCTACGGGGGGCAGATGACGACCTCCACTGGCAACCAGGCCCTCTACGGGGGGCAGATGACGACCTCCACTGGCAACCAGGCCCTCTACGGGGGGCAGATGACGACCTCCACTGGCAACCAGGCCCTCTACGGGGGGCAGATGACGACCTCCACTGGCAACCAGGCCCTCTACGGGGGGCAGATGACGACCTCCACTGGCAACCAGGCCCTCTACGGGGGGCAGATGACGACCTCCACTGGCAACCAGGCCCTCTACGGGGGGCAGATGACGACCTCCACTGGCAACCAGGCCCTCTACGGGGGGCAGATGACGACCTCCACTGGCAACCAGGCCCTCTACGGGGGACAGAATATGACCTCCATTGATAACCAGGCCCTCCATGGAGGCCACATGGCAATATATAGTGACAACTTGACCCTCTATGGGGGCCATATGCTGACCCTTCAGGCAGGCAATATGACAACCCTCACTGGTGACCACAGCTTTTATGGGTCCTCATTGTCATACCCAGGATTCCTATGCTTTTCAAGTTCCCATTTGATTCAAGGACAACTCTCAGAAAAGCAGAAGACCCAGAGCAGCCCGTTCTGGAAGAATCCTAAGCCCTTCATCTGCCCACATAAGGACTGTAAGAACTCTTATTCAAAGGCTTGCCACCTCCGAACCCACATGCGCAAGCACACTGGTGAGTGAGGGCCCAGGAACAGGGGTGAGGGGCAAGTGGCTACAGATTTGTGCCTTTACAAAGCTCTGGGAGCATTTGAGATTGCTGCCACTTCCCCAGGGACTCAAGAAGATTCTGTAATAGAAAAGGTCGGCACCTTTAGAAGGGTGGATAAAGTAGTCCTAGGGACAGGCTCTAGTCCTGGACCAGAGCCAGGCTGGCTGCAGCCTTTAGTGGCGTTGACTGCTGGTTTGATGGGACTCAGTGGAGGGATTTCTTTGGGCCCTTGCAGATAGATGTTCTTGACACTTTCTACTGGGACCGTCACTTCATAGACCTCCTCTCAGGGCCCCCAGGCCCACTTCCCTCATCCTCCTTATTTCCTTTACTAACTTGCCCGCCAGTAACTGTCTCTTCTCCTGTTTTGTTTTTCTTCTTCCTTTTCTTTCCTCTTCTTCCCACCTTCAGTTTTCCTCTTCTCTCTCCAGCTTTTGCAGCCCTCTTTCCCCTCCTCCTTCACTCACCTCCCGGCTCCCATCTACTCTGGCTCTCCCTCTCCCACTTCAACTTGCTCAAAAACTTTTTCTTGCTCACTTTCAATGTCCCTGCTCTTCCTCACCCTGATGTATGACAGGTCTCTCTCTGTTCCAGGGGAAAAGCCCTTCGTATGCGATGTGGAGGGATGTACGTGGAAATTCGGTCGCTCAGATGAGCTCAACAGACACAAGAAAAGGCACACTGGGGAACGGCCCTACCTGTGTCCAGTTTGCAGCAAGAATTTTGCACGATCTGATCACCTGAAGCAACATGGAAAGGTCCACAACATTTGCCCAGAATTATGAACCCTTCAGCCCATGAAGAAATGTGTACGGCTGAAAGATTGTCCCTACTGAGATTGTTTCCCTTGAACAAGCTCCCCTGTTTCCCGATGCCAGTAGCTAGTAGGTGTTCAACATTATTCCTAAGTTTTCTAAAATATACAAAGAAAATAGGTATCCATTTTCACATAAACACCAGACAACTTTCAACTTGAAACCAGAAGCGCTCTTCATTCATTCCCCTCTCTCAGGGCAACTGCTTTTGTCAACATGCTGTGACTCCTTCTAGATCTTACTCTGCATTTACCTCTATGTGTATTGTAAAACTGTATCTTTATAGATAAATAATACTGTATATAGCTCAGAGGGTAAAGAATGGAACGTTCTTTTTTTGTCTGTAGCTGAGCCCATGTTTCTTTGGAGCTTCATTCCCATGAGGTAAAAAGGAGGGGACTCAGTCACATCCAGGGTAAAGTGGTCTCAGGTTAAATGGACTTTACTTAGGTGAGTACTTAGCCTATTCAAAAGTTCAACCTCAGTCAGGTGTGATGGTTCACACCTGTAATCCCAGCACTTTGAGAGGCCGAGGCAGGTGGGTCATGAGGTCAGAAGTTGAAGACCAGTCTGGCCAAGATGGTGAAACCCGGTCTCTACTAAAATACAAAAATTCACCAGGCGTGGTGGTGGGCACCTGCACCTGTAATCCCAGCTACTCGGGAGGCGGAGGCAGGAGAATTGCTTGAGCCCGGGGGGCAGAGGTTGGAGTGAGCTGAGATTGTGTCATTGCATTCCAGCCTGGGAGACAAAGTGAGACTCCATCTCAAAAAATAAATAAAATTAAAAAAAAATTATCCAGAGGTGGTGATATGCACCTTAATCCCAGCTACTCGGGAGGCGGAGGCAGGAGAATTGCTTGAGCCCGGGGGGCAGAGGTTGGAGTGAGCTGAGATTGTGTCATTGCATTCCAGCCTGGGAGACAAAGTGAGACTCCATCTCAAAAAATAAATAAAATTTAAAAAAAATTATCCAGAGGTGGTGGTATGCACCTGTAATCCCAGCTACTCGGGAGGCTGAGTTGGGAGGATCACTTGAGCTCAGTAGTTGCAGTTGCAGTGAGCTGTATTAGCACCAGGGCACTCCAACCTGGGTGACAGAGCAAAACCCTGTCTCAAAAAATAAAGATATTGTATAATATTATATGTGAAATATATTGAATAAGATATTTAAGTCATAAGTAGAAAAAATGAGCACCTGTAAGAGCTCATGACCCAGTGTCATGCAATCAGGTGTTGAGATGGCCAATTAGGACAATGAACCAGATGGAAAGGAATGATCAAGCCTTATTTACTGATGGCTACAGAGCAGATGGAACAGACAGCCTTAGCCAAGACCCCAAATAAAGAGGTCTCTGAATGGAAGCACTTGAGCTAGAAAGGCAGCTGTGCCTCTGAGCACAGCTGGCCTGTGGTGGTGGGTGCAGGACAGTTCTCCAGTATCCTTGGATTGACCCAGTGCCCCCCTTTCTCACTTGGAGTCCTCAAGAATAATTGTAGACTGTGCTGGGACGACAATGCCTGGGCTCTGTTCCAGTTCCCCCAGAAGCAGAATGTCCTTCAATGACCCACATAAACCCAGGGCATAAAACTCTGGGCAGGCTGCTTGCTGGGGTCCTTCAGCTGTGGTACAAGTGGAGCACAGGCAGTGAAGACTCCATCCACCCTGGGCAGCTTTCCTGAGCCTTGTGGGACTAACTCCCAATGAATCCTTGATTGCTGTTCCTTGCTGCCTATTAGTAATAAACCCATTTTATTTAACTTGCTGTGTGTGTGGGTATCATTGGATCTCGGTGGACTCAGATAAGCTGATAACCAGTGCACAGTGAACCTGCCTTACAGTGGGGATGCCAAGTCCTTGACTATAGCTCCTTTCAAAAAACTCCAGTGCCCTGGCTGTGTACCAAGTCTGATGAGCTCCCTTACCCATCTTTCTATCTTCTAGAATTAATGACAACCTTGAATTTTGTATATATAAATTCCTTTGATACATTTATTAAAAATGCATGTATTCAAAGATAATTTATAGGTTGTTTATTTTGAACTTCATAAAGATTATACTAAGCTATATATAGTTTTCTGGAACTCCCTTGTTTTCACCACATTATATCTCTAAGATTTCATCCATGTTATTACTAAAACCAATGAAAATAATCCATCCTAACCCCAAACAAAACTTCCCTACGTTGTCAACACACCAGGGTGGGGGCGGGAGTGAGAAACCAAAGAAAGATGAGGATGCCCTAGAGTCTTCCATGAAGTACAACAACTACAAAAAGAAAGCAATACAGCTGTTTCTCATTATCCAGATCTACTCTGCTGGTTCATGAATTTTTAGACTAAAGGGGTTTTTATTCCATTAACCTAAATATGAAAAATAGTAACGTGTTCTCAACCCATCCAAAAACCCCAACCATTTCCTCAAATTTCACTAAACCCTTATATAATAATAAACTCAGCCAGGTGTGTTGGCTCACACCTGCAATCCTAGCACTTTGGGAGGCCAAGGCAGGTGGATCACCTGAGGTCGGGAGTTCAAGACCAGCCTGACCAACATGGAGAAATTCCATCTCTACTAAAAACACAAAATTAGCTGGGCATGGTGATGCATGCCGATAGTCCCAGCTACTTGGAAGGCTGAGGCAGGAGAATCGCTTGAACCCAGGAGGTAAAAGTTGCGGTGAGCTGAGATTGTGCCATTGCACTCCAGCCTGGGCAACAGAAGTGAAATTCTGTCTCAAAAAAAAAAACTTAATAAATACATTAGTAGACATGGTAGTACACAGGATACAATGACACTGTGCAGTATTGGATGCCAGTTACATGCTCCTGATTGCAGCAGCCTGAGTTCAATCAAGAGAGACAGCATACAGTGTTTTAGGGGCACATGTTCTCAGGATCTCCTGAAGGCTGTTTCACAGGAGGAAGAGAGAGAGAGAGAAAACAGTGTTTTAAACAAGGGAAGTTTAATATAAAGAATTTTAAAAGGACCTGGTGTGGAGGCTTACACCTGTAATCCCAACAGTTTGGGAGGCTGAGGCAAGCAGATCACTTGGGGTCAGGAGTTCAAGACCAGCCTGGCCAACATGGTGAAGCCCCATCTCTACTAAAAATGCAAAAACTGTCCAGGTGTGGTGGTGTGCACCTGTAGTCCCAGCTACTTGGAAGGCCAAGGTATGAGAATCGCTTGAACCCAGGAGGCAGAAGCTTCAGTAAGCCGTGACTGTGCCATTGCACTCCAGCCTGGGCACTAAAGTGAGACTCTGTCTCAAAAAAAAAAAATACTAAGAGTAAATATAAAATGTAAGAGGACACAACCCTAGGGCTAAGAGTTCCCAAGCAAGGACAAACTTGGAAAATGAGCTCCTAGACTGGAGTTTGGATCTCATTGCAGAAGGTATAGCTGCAGACCATGAGTGGTGGAGAAGTTTGCTAGTTAGGAGTCACTGGGGAAGCAGAGCTGGTCCGTAGTTACTGGTCAAGCAGGAAGCAACTCTCCAGGTTGGAAGGGTCATGTATAGGAGTTCCATCAGGATGGTGGGAGAAATTGTAGGAACAGGACATAAACCTTGGAATGCCGGAGAGTCTTGCAAAAGCTTCAGAATGGGATTTGGCTGAAGGCAGCCGGATTCTCTTATCCAGTGCCTGAAAGCTTAAGTTAGATAGCTAAGGGGTGTAAAGAAACTGATCTAGATAAGTTAGTTTACTTAGGCCTTGGAACCTGGCCTTTAACCATCTGTAAGACTGCTTTCTCTGGGGGGCAACCATATTAATTATCCACAAGTATATTGACTCAAAGCCTTTGCCATTAAATCCATACTGAATAAATACCTGCAGTGCCAGCTTGTGAGGGCTGCGGCTGCTGACTGTTTAAAGCTCCCTCCTTGGTGTCTGAGCGGCCCGGACCCCTAGCCTACACTTTCACTGGATATCAGTATCCGAGTGCATTCGTTCATCCATTGCTGGGTCAGAGTCTGCAGGTCGGACCTGACAGCCATGGTGTTGGGAGGGTCAAGGGCACTGGTGTGGGTGAGAGGCCTAAAGTATGCAGTGTCTGTATTGAGGGGGCAGGAAGGTGGTCACCAGGCTAGGCTGGGATTGTAAGGTTAATAAATAGGTGAAAATGGTGAATGACTACACAAACAGAGCAATGAAATTAAATTGAAAGTCCATAAATAAACACAAGTACATATGGAAATATATCATAAAAGTGACATCTCAAAACACTGTAGCAAAGATGAACTTTAAGAAATTGTGCTGAGGGCTGGGTACAGTGGCTCACACCTGTAATCCCAGCACTTTGAAAGGCCAAGGCAGATCACTTGAGACCAGGAGTTCAAGACCAACTTGGCCAACGTGGTGAAACCTTGTCTCTACTAAAAATACAAAAATAGCCTGCTGTGGTGGCACAGGTCTGTAATCCCAGCTACTCGGGAGCCTGAGGCAGGAGAATCTCTTGAATGTGGGAGGCAGAAGTTACAGTGAGCCAAAATCGCACCACTACACTTCAGCCTGGATGACAGAGCAAGATTCTGTCAAGAAAAAGAAAAAGAAAGAAAGAAGGAAGGAAGGAAGGAAGGAAGGAAGGAAGGAAGGAAGGAAGGAAGGAGGGAGGGAGGGAGGGAGGGAGGGAGGGAGGGAAGGAGGGAGGGAGGGAGGGAGGGAGGAAGGAAGGAATGGTGCTGTGGTTGGGAATGGTGGCTAATTCTTGTAATCCCAACACTTTGGGAGGTTGAGGAGAAGGATTGCTTGAGCTCAGGAGTTTGAGACCAGCCTGAGCAACATAGTGAGACCTAATCTTTACAAAAAAATTAGGAAATTAGCCAGCCATGGTGGCATACATCTGTTCTCCCAGTTACTTGGGAGGCTGAGGTGAAAGGAACACTTGAGCCCAGGAGGTTCAGGCTACAGCGAGCCATGAGGGTGCCACTGCACTCCAGCCTGGGTGACAGAGCGAGACTCTCTCAAGAAAAAAAAATTACCAGAATAAAAAAAGATGAATTCCTCTATAACCAGAACTTAGAGAAAAGTTTCTGTGACTCAAATCCAGATGCAAAAACAAAAAAAAAATGGTAAAGTTAAATGCATGATACTATGAAAATGAGAATCTCTCCAACGGCAAGAAAAAAAAAATCAAAAGACAACTGGTGGCCAGGCACAGTGGCTCACGCCTGTAATCCCAGCACGTTGGGAGGCCGAGGTGGGCAGATCACAGGGTCAGGAGATCGAGATCATTTTGGCCAACCTGGTAAAACCCCGTCTCTACTAAAAAACAAAAAAATAGCTGGGCGTGGTGATGCCCACCTGTTGTCCCAGCTACTCGGGAGGCTGAGGCACGGAAATCACT